TAGGCCAGGCAGAAGCCTGAACCAGGAATGCTGTCCAAATCTCCTACGTGGGAGGCAGGGACTCAAGTACTTGACCATAATCTGCTGCCTTCCAGGAGTATTAGTAGGAGGCTGAACCAGGAGTGGAATAGTCAGGAATTGAATCAGGAACTCTGATATGGGATGTGGGTATCCTAAGTGGTGGCTTAACTCCTTACACCACAAAGCCAGTTCCTCATATTTCTTTTCTTTCATGATTAATGATTGTTTTCTATCTTAAGATATCCATTTCTATTCCAAAGTGAAAAAATAGCCCGTAATATTTTCTTCTAAAAGCTTCCTGGCTTTACCTTTCATTTTTAGATCTTAAATTGATTTTTGTATACAGTATGAGAAAAGATCCACTTTTACTTTTCTCATATGATTATCTAATGATTTCAACCCTATTTATTTATTAATTTATTTATTTTAAAAGATTTATTTATTTACTTGAAAGTCAGAGTTGCACAGAGAGAGAAGGAGAGGCAGAGAGAGAGAGAGAAAGGTCTTCCATCCACTGGTTCACTCTTCAGATGGCTGCAACAGCCAGAGCTGTGCAGATCTGAAGCCAGGAGTTTCTTCCAGGTCTCCCACATGGGTACAGGGTCCAAGGAGTTGGGCTGTCTTCTACTGCTTTCCCAGGCCATGGCAGAGAGCTGGATTGGAAGTGGAGCAGCCGGGACTTGAACTGGCGTCCATATGGGATGCCAGCACTGCAGGCTGCGGCTTTACCTGCTACGCCACAGCGCCGGCCCCCTCAACCCTATTTATTAAGAAGTCCCCACTGCTCTTAAGTCCTACCTGTTCATAAATCAAGCATCTGATCAACTCTCTGATACATACACAAGCCTATTTAACTTTCCCTGTGGCAATAGTAGACTTTTAAATTATGATAGCATTAAAACATATTTTGATATCTAGTAGAATAACTTCTACATTTTAACTGTAAACACTTGTCTGCTTTTTTTTTATCTTAAAATACCATGTGTATTTGGGAATTATATTGGAATTGTATTAAATCTATAAATTAACCTGAGAGAACTGACATCTTTCTAGTAATGGTTCTTTCATTCTAAGAACATGATATACCTCTCTATCTATTTAGGTCATTTTTTTATACTTTTCAATATGTTTTACATTTGAAGTTAGCCAAAAGGCCGAGAAGTGATTCAATGTTTTATAATGTTCTCCATACACTTTTTCTCTTTCATTTCTTTATTTTATCTAGGTATCTTTTAGTTTTTTATTACTACCAAATATGCTACTTTAAATGGCACGTGGCCTAGTGGTTAATACACCAGGTTAAGATACCCACATCCCATATCAGAATACCCAAGTTGGATACCTGGCTCTACCTCATGACTCAGCTTCCTGATAATGGTATGGAGGCAGGGGTGATGGCTCAAGTAGTTGCGACCCTGCTGCTTATGTGGGAAACCTGGAATTCTTTACTCCCAGCCGTGACTTGGCCCATTCCCAGCCATTGAGGGCATTTGGGGAGTTAACCAGTGGATTGGAGTGTTCTCTCTCTCTCTCTCTCTCTCTCTCTCTCTCTCTGCCTCTCTGAAACACATTTACACACAATTTATATTTCATAATTGCTAATTTATTAGAAAAATTGATTTTAGTTTGTTGATTTTATAGTGGAAGCCACTAAATGCCTAGAAGAGTTAGAAAAATCTTTATAGAGGAAGAAGCCAGAAGAATAGGAGATGCCTAGCCAGAGCTGAAGAACAGTAACCAGCAAGAGGGACAGCATATAGAGCTGACATTCATGGCCCAATGTTTGAAAGGCAAATAATTTTCTGTGGCTGGGATATGGGCAAAACGGTGATGAGCTATTAGAAATGTTAGTTGGGTTGGGCCCTGATTGTAGAATGCAAATTGTAGGACAAAGAACATAGTTTTTTATTACAGGCATTGGGGAATCATTAATTAAATTTTTTTTCAGTTTTCCAAATCAACCATATTCATCACCAAACATTAGGAGAAAAATGAAATGTTGGGAATATCAACTATTTTTAGGCAGGGAGAAGCTAACACCACATTTAAATCAATATGGTTTGTGAAGATCATTTCAGTGACCTCTAGAGGCTGGGAGAAGAAGAGCCTGGAAGACAACAGACAGCTTCAGAGGTTATTGCACTGGTACCCATGAGAGATGAAGGTCTGAACAAAGTGGCCATGAAGAGGCAGGGAAAGCTCCGAGATATTCCACAGGGGAAATCAACGGAGTCCGGTGACCGATTAGATGTGGCAGGAAACAAAGAGGGAAAGTGTGGGTAATTCCGAGTTTTCTAGCTTGAGAGAATGGAATTTATTCAGTTAGCTATGAGTTTGCAGAGTGTAGATCTGAGATAATGGGATTAAGGGTAGCTAAATTTGAAATGGATAGGGTCTACCTCAAAGTCTGGAACCAAAGATCCAAAGGAGTAGTTTTGTTTTTTAGCAATTTTGAGCTGGGGTATTCTCTGCTTCTGATCCTGCTGAACTCTTAAACACTCTGGCATTGTGGTGCAGTGGGATACCCACGTCCCTTATTAGAGTGCTGGTTCAAGTCCCAGCTCCTCTGCTTCCAAATCCAGCGTCCTGCTACTGCACATCCTGGGAGGCAGCAGGTGATGGCTCAACTACTTGAGTTCCTGCCACCCATATGGGAGACCCATACTGAGTTCCTGGCTCTGGCTTTCAGGAATTCCTGGTTGTGGGCATTTGAAGAGTGAATCAGTGGATGGAAGCTCTAGGTCTCTCTGTCTCTCTCTCTGGCTTTCAAATAACTACAAACAGGAGCAGGTGTTTGGCACAGCAGCTTAAGCCACTGCTTGGTTTGCCTGCATCCCATATTGGAGTACCTGGGATTGCGTGGTCCAGGTTCCTGCTAATGCACGTAGGAGGTAGCAGATAATGGCTGGAGTACTTGGGTTTCTGCCACACATGTGGGAGACCTGGATGGAGTTTCTGGCTCCTGACTTTGGCTAGGGCCAGCCTTGGCTGTTGTGGGCATTTGGGGAATGAACCAGCAGATGGAAAAATCTCTCTGTCTCTCCCTTGAGTCTGTCACTCTGCTTTTCAAATTAAAAAAATATATATATATATATTTAAAATAAAATTCTTCCCAGGTACTTTGGCACCCAAGGTTTAATTAGACAATTCTAGGGTAATGAATATAAAACCACTTTATTCTATTGTTAATGAGAAATTAACCACTATGATCTGTTAAAAATGTATATTAACAAAGTCTAAGAATACTAAGGCTTATTCTGTCTCTCTTTATTGCTACGTATATTGACATTTCTCATAATAAAAACATTTTGAAAAAATTAGATAATTTTATCACGTAGGGTTTAAAATAATTTTATTACCTATTCATTCATCAAGCATTTATTAGGTGTCTATTATGTACCAGGTACTGTGCAAGTCAATATGGGAGAATACAAAGTATACAAGGGTACTTCAAAACATTGGTGGAAATGGAATTAAAAGATAAGTTCATTTTGGTGTAAAGTAGTAAAGGAAAATGTATATTATGAAAAAATTATCTGTGGCTGTAAGTGCTATCAGAGTGGCAGCAGGAAGTAAGAGCTGGAGGAATTCTGTAGACTGGGGTGACCCACACCATTTATAGGTGAGGCCACAGGTCAGAGAGCACCAAGATCTGATGGGCTCATTTGGCAATTTCATAGGAAGATCTGAAACTATAATGTGGAGGTGCTAAGCTGCCCCCTGTAATTGTGGGGCTCCTGACTATGCCCAGTTTCTCTCTGGAGGTTGTCAAGCCTGCCCAAAAGCCAGGGGAAGGAGGCTAAGAGGAATTCTCATTGTGCCGTCATGGCTTTCAAAGTTTGGTTTGGATGGGAACATTGGCTGTGGCCTTGATTCCACAAACTATTTCAACATTTTAAAATGGAAAAGGGCTTTTAAAAAGCATAATTATGAGTGCAAATCTGCCACTGGGAAGATTGATTTTAGTACTTTCTGGGATAACCCTATGACCTGGGCATTATCATTCTTTTTAACTTTCTTAGGTTTTTAATTTACAAGTCAGAAAATCCATACCAGAGCCAACCTTTCCTCTGCCACCAAGCCATTTGTTCTAAGTTCTCTGGGCTTATTTCCTCATCAGGAACGATTTCTCACAGTCACTGAGGGATCAAATAAGACAACAGTTACCAATGCTCTGTTTTCATTTACTTTTTAAAATATTTATTTGTTTTTATTTGAAAGGCAGAGTTACAGAGAGAGAGGCAGAGACAGATCTTCCATCTGCTGGTTCACTCCCCAAATGGCTTCAATATCCAGGACTGGGCCAGGCCCAACCCAGGAGCCAGGAGTTTCCCCCAGCTTTCCAAGGTCATCAGCAGGGAGCTGGACGGGAAGTGAACACAAACCAGCACCCATATGGGACGCTGGCATCGCAGTGGCAGTTTAACTCACTTAGCTCACTACGCAACAACTCCAGTCTCTATTTATTTATTTTTCATGGTTATTTATTTATTTATTTATTTTCATCCACTTGAAAGGCAGGGCAGCAGCAGCAGAGAGAGACATCCATCTTTCAATTGCTGGTTCACTCCTTAAATGCTTGCAACAGCTACGGCTGAAGCCAGGAGCCTGGAACTCCATCCAGGTCTTCCACATGGCTGGCAGGAGCCCAAACACTTGAGCCATCACCGGCTGCTTCCCAGGATGCATCAGAAGAAGAGGTCCCACGACTGGAACCAGCACTCTGATATGGAATGCAGGCATCCCAAGTGGCTTAACCCGCTGCACCACAGGCTTGCCCCCCGCCCCCAGCAAATGCTCTATGACCAGTATAAATGCACTACGTAATAGGGAGCTACCACTATTATTCTCAGAATCTTTTTTATGATCTTAGATATAATACAAGGCTGAACGAGCGCAATGTGACTAGACTCCACTGCTCCCAGTAAGTTTCCCGTAACCTCTGCTTTAGGATAAATAAAAAAAAAATTTCCTCATACTCAGCTTTTGCTTCGTTGGCTGCTCAACCTTCTCTTTATCATATTCTTGTCCCACTTGCTTTTCTGACAGCATCGCCCAAGGCAGAGGAAAGAAAGGCATTTTCCGTAGAGATATGCAGGTGCGGTCCCACCAACATGCACTGAACTCCAAGCTAGGAGAGAAGCTGGAGGAGGTGCACAGATTATTAACAGTCTCAGGTGCCTACAGGCCTTCCACAGAGGACGATGAGCTTCGTGTTAGGAGAGGGGAAGTTACCGCCCACTTGCAGGGCAGCAGGCGCTGCAGCCGAGCAGCAGGGGGCAGAGCAGAGCTCTGGAGGCCGACCTGGAATAAAGCTCGTCTGGCAGCTCCGCGCCCCATTCGGGTCTGCGGCTTGCGAGGCAGCCCTTTGCCATTCCCTTCGGGGAGCCCAAAGAAGATAAAGTATCTTTTCCTGTGACGACAGCAGGTATGCCGGCAGTCAGGACTCTGGACTCAGCGCCTCGCCCCAACGTTTCCTCTTAACGGAGCCACGACGCCCTCCAGCGGAGGAAAGGCACCTTAGGGGCACCCCAAAGTTTCGGGGCACCTTAACTTCCGGCTGCTGGAACAGCTCGGCGGCTTCTGGCCTCGCCCCCTCTGGAGTCCCACCCCCGACGCAAGCTCGTCATTGGCACCGATTGGCTGGGTCGTGTGCGTGGGGACGTTGCGTCGCGGGGCGGGGCATACGAGGAGATGTCTGTAGGGCCTCCGTCGTAAGTCCGCCGGCCGCCGCCCCCGCTGTCGTGCTGCTTCTGCTACTCGCCTGCTTTTCGAGGATTCAAGCGACAGCCGCGGCAGCGGGTGGTCGCGCAGACGCCAAACGTCTCTGCCGAGCAGCGCTTTATAGCAGGCGGCTGCGCTCGGCCCGGTCCAGGAGGGGTGGGGGCGGGGGGGGGGGGGCGAAAAATGGCGCCGGCGCCCCTCGGCGGCCTGGAGGAGCAGCTCCTGGGGTGTCGGTCCGCACCACTCTGGCGGCTCCTATTCCTCGTCCAGGCCGTTCTGCCCGCCGCTGGCGCTGGCCTCTGTCCCGCACACTGCTCTTGCCGCATTCCTGTGCTGGATTGCAGCCGCAGGAAACTGCCCGCGCCGGCCTGGAGGGCGCTGTCCGGCTCGCTGCCCCCCGACACGGCCAGCCTGTGAGTAGAACGATCGTGCGGAGAGACCCAAGCGAGGGGGAGAGCCCCCTCCGCCGGGGACCGGAGGGACCCGGGCCTGGGCACAGTGCGTGGCCCGGGGCCTAAGGTGTGAAGACGAGTGCCTTTACGATGTTGTGAACTTTATTTTGAGTGGTGGGAGGCAGAAGAGGCTAGGGCGAGGGTTCCCGGAGACTGGTATGAGGAGCAGCGTGAAGATTCTCGGGGCCAGGTGATTTCTCTGGGCTGGGGAGGGGTTGAGGCGGGGACGTTGGATTTGAAGGGCTCTTCGGGTCTCAGGCACCAGTGTTGGTGGAGGGGCGGGTCGAGCACGGGAGGGTCCTCACTCTGGGCTGCATCATTTGGTGTGAACTTCAGCTTGAAGGGGCCTCAGGCATCTCTGTGTTGTGTGTCTAGTTGCCAGTGTTGGTTCATTGTCATCTGTAGTTCTGGTACTTAGTAGGGTTGAAAACTTCATCATGTGTCAGGCGCTCTAGTGCTAATCTGGAATATTTTACAAAGTAGCGTGTTTGTTTTAACTCAGGATTTAGGTAAAGGAGGGGAGGAGTCCTCATGATTTTTACACAATGATGCGGTGCTTGTTTTCAGTACCTTACCTTGTGCCAGAGAACCCCAAAATGAGTCGCTTTTGTTTATGTCTGAGAAGCAAGTACAGTGTTGAACGAATTCTTCTGGAGTTTTGACAGCTGAGTTTTCGTCTTGACAGGCTTGTATTAGAGGCACCTGGAGAACTCCTTAGAGACAGCCGGGTGGCATTGGGAACAACAGTAGGTATTAAACACTGCAATTATGGGCCTTCCCAACCACTAACATAGTTATTTCTCTGCTGCTTAACTGAGCACGTTTATGAATTGACAGCCTCTCAAAATCAGTCATCATTAAAAAAGAGTAGCTTGACGTGCAGTTAAAATATGAGAGCCAGTTGGATTTTCACTGGAAATAGTATACAAATAGAAATACAAATTTGTGTTGCAAATTCATGTGCTTGCAGATAGGTTATGTATTGAGATAGGAAAGAAAGCCACCTCATATATCCATTGAGAAAGTTAGTGTAAGTAAACGAATGTAGTCGACATAGAATCACTATATAATAAGATGGTTTCTGGTGTTTTGTGATAGTGCCACCTGCAGCAGATGCTGGTTCTGTTGACTTACATTTAAAAATTTGTATCTGGGGGCCAGTGCTGTGGATAAAGCTGCTGTCTGCAGTGCCAGCATCTCATATGGGTGCTGGTTCAAGTCCTGGCTGCTCCACTTCTGATCCAGCTTTCTGCTATGGCCTGGGAAAGCAGAAGATGGCCCAAATCCTTTGGCACCTGCACCCGCGTGGGAGACCCCCAAAAAGCTCCTGGCTTTGGATCAGCCCAGCTCCAGCTGTTGCAGCCATTTGCGGAGTGAACCAGCGGATGGAAGACCTCTCTCTATCTGCTTCTGCCTCTCCATAACTCTGCCTTTCAAATAAATAAATAAATCTTTTTTTTTTTAATTAATATCCATGTGCAGCATAGCCTGATTTAAACCTAGTACAGCATCTTTCTTATGCAGCAAGTGCCCTTTCCTAAAAAATTCTTGGAACAGCTACCTGATTAAGACAATAAATCTGGCACAGGTTTAAAAGCAACAGGGTTTCACTTAACTGTAATAGAAATTAATGTGGCCTCTTTTCAAAGTTCCTCCACTGGTAGGTAAACAGTAATCAGAAGTATTGCTGTGTGATATATTTATTTTAAATCTAGGTTTGATTTTTTTTTTGGTTAATAAAGACAGATTGCATAAAGCCAAGTGACATTCAAAAATTTTAAATGTCCCATAATGAAATTGACATTTTCATTTGAAATGAAATGCCTTGGAGAGCAATTCTGTTGCAGAAATGTAATTGTATGGAAGTCTTACATTAGCAGAACAACTCTTAGAATATTAAAAGATATTGTGCTGTTTAAGTTAAGAAATGAAACATTCATCAGCAGTTGTGCTTAGCTGTAAAACCACAAAGTACACTTGGGTTTCTTTATATAATTGTGAATTATTTAAAAATGTTTGTATATGCTTGAAAGGCAGAGAGACAGAAATACATAGAAATTTTCTATCCACTATTTCCCTTCCCCAAATACCTGTAAAAGCTGAGGCTGGGTCAGACCTAAGCCAGAAGCCTGGACATCATGTCACTTTGTGGGTGACAGGGACCCAAGCACATTATTAATTTTTTTATTTTATTTTATTTATTTATTTATTTATTTGGACAGGCAGAGTGGACAGTGAGAGAGAGAGACAGAGAGAAAGGTCTTCCTTTGCCGTTGGTTCACCCTCCAATGGCCGCCGCAGCTGGTGCGCTGTGGCCGGCGTACCGCGCTGATCTGATGGCAGGAGGCAGGTACTTATCCTGGTCTCCCATGGGGTGCAGGGCCCAAGCACCTGGGCCATCCTCCACTGCACTCCCTGGCCGCAGCAGAGAGCTGGCCTGGAAGAGGGGCAACCGGGACAGAATCCGGCGCCCCGACTGGGACTAGAACCCGGTGTGCCGGTGCTGCAAGGCGGAGGATTAGCCTAGTGAGCCGCAGCGCCGGCCTAAGCACATTATTACTAATGTGCACTTGCTGCCTCCTAGGGTGCACGTTAGTAATAAGCTGAATCGGAAACAGAGGTGGAACTTGAACCCAGGCACTCTGATATGGGATGTGGACATTCCAAGCGGCATCTTAATCATGGTAGCAGACACTCTTGCCCTGTAATTTGAATTTTTTTTATGACTTATTTGAAATGCAGAAAGAAGGAGAGAGAGATAGAGAGAGACCTTCCTTCCTTCCTTCTTCTGGTTCACTCCCCAAATGGCTGCAAAGGCCAGGGCTGGGCCAGCTGCCCAGAACTCCATCTGGTTTCCCTACGTGGGTGGCAGGGGCCCAAGCAATTGAGCCATCCTCTGCTGCTTTCCCAGGCACATTAGCAGGGAGCTGGATCTCAAGTGTAGCCACAGGGAATCAGCTGGTACCCATATGAGCTGCCAACCTTCTAAGCAGTTGATTAAGCTGCTGTGCCACAATGTTGGTCCCTGAACTTATTTATTTATTTATTTATTTTTCCCAGAAACTTTTTGTTTAAGGAATACAAACTTAATACTTTCCATAAATACAACTTTAGGAATATAGTGATTCTTCCTACCATACCCACACTCCCACCTACACACACACCCCTCTTGCTCCTCCCACTCCTATTCTCATTCTTATTTTTTACCAAGATGTATTTTCTTTTCTTTCTTTCTTTCTTTTTTCTTTCTTTTTTTTTTTTTTTTTTTTGACAGGCAGAGTGGACAGTGAGAAAGAGACAGAGAGGAAGGTCTTCCTTTTTCTGTTGGTTCACCCCGCAATGGCCACTGCGGCAGGCGCGCTGCGGCGCATCGCACTGATCCAAAGCCCGGAGCCAGGTGTTTCTCCTGGTCTCCCATGCGGGTGCAGGACCCAAGCACTTGGGCCATCCTCCACTGCACTCCCGGGCCAGAGCAGAGAGCTGGACAGGAAGAGGAGCTACCAGGACAGATCCGGTGTCCCGACCGGGACTAGAACCTGGTGTACCGGTGCCGCAGGCGGAGGATTAGCCTGTTGAGCTGCGGCGCCAGCCCACCAAGATGTATTTTCAACTAACTTTATACACATACAGTTAACTCTGTACTAACAAACTGTATGAAAAAATCTGTTCTTCAGCAGTCAAGAGCTGTTCAAAGTTGTTGCATCTGGATGTGTTAATTTCACTTGTATAGATTACCTATGAGGTACTCTGTTATCACAGATCAGGGAGAACACATAGTATTTGTCCTTCTGGAACTGGCTTATTTCACTAAGTATAATGTTTTCCAGTTTCATCCATTTTTTTGCAAATGACAGGATTTCATTTTTTAATTACTGTGCAATATTCCATGGTGTGTGTATCACATAATTTCTTTATCCATTCTTCAGTTCATGGGCCTTTGGGTTGATTCCGTATCTTAACTATTGTGAATTGAATTGCAGTAAACATGGGGGCAGATAACTCTTTCATATGCTGATTTCATTTCCCTTGAGTAAATTCCCAGGAGTGGGATGGCTGGTTCATATTGTAGGTCTATGTTCAGATTTCTGAGGTATCTCCATACTGTCTTCCTTAGTGGCAGTACCAGTATATATTTCCACCAACAGTGGATTAGGGTTCCTTCTTCCCTCACATTCTTGCCAGCATTTGTTTGTTGACTTCTGTATGAAAGCCATTCTAATTAGGGTGAGGTGAAACCACATTGTGGTTTTGATTTGCGTTTCCCTGATTAATGGTGATACTGAGCATTTTTTTCATGAATCAACCATTTGGATTTCCTCTTTAGAAAAATGTCTAGGGGCTGGTGCCATGGCGCAGTAGGTTACTCCTCTGCCTGCAGTGCTGGCATCCCATATGGGCGCCGGTTCTAGTCCTGGTTGCTCCACTTCCGATCCAGCTCTCTGCTATGGCCTAGTAGAGCAGTAGAAGATGGCTCAGGTCCCTGGGTCCCTGCACCCACACTGGAGACCAGGAGGAAGCGCCTGGCTCCTGGCTTTGGATCTGCGCAGTTCTGGCTGTTGCGGCCAACTGGGGAGTGAACCATCGGATGGAAGACCTCTTTCTCTCTCTGCCTCTCCTGTGTAACTCTGACTTTCAAATAAATAAATAAATCTTTTTTAAAAAAGCAAAATATCTAATTACTTTGCCCATTTCTTCACTGGGTTGTTTGTCTTGTTGAGTTTCTTGATTTCTTTATATATTCTGGTTATTAATCCTTTATCAGTTTCATAGTTTGCGGATAATTTCTCCCATTCTGTCTGTTGCCTCTTCACTTTGCTGAGTGTTTCCTTTGCTGTGCAGAAGCTTCACAATTTGATGTAATCCCATTTGTCAATTTTGGCTTTGATTGCCTATGCCTCTGAGGTCTTTTCCAAGAACTCTTTGCCTGTGCCAATGTCTTTCAGTGTTTCCCCAGTGTTCTC